TTTTTTTTTTTTTTAACATACATCCACCGAATTTGATATTGCCGGAATTGTTTTTGTATTTGTTTGAATCCTCACATGACTTACCAAATGATGGGCATACACAAATTCAAACAATTCCGGCAATATCAAATTCGGTGGATGTATGTTAAAAAAAAAAAAAAAATTCCCTTCAAAGAATTATCCAGCCGTTAAAAGCCGTTACTTTTTGTGTTTTTTTATGGATTTCAATTTCAAGGATTAGGCAAAGAGCTTCATCAGCGATGACGTCTGTGGCTCTTCTTGCTCCTCCTCTCACCCCCTTCTCATCTTCTCTTTCACATCATCATCATCATCATCATCATTCTCTCTCGCCACTTCAATTTCACCCCCAAAACCCTAGGCTTCGCATATTGTATTCCTCTAATCGATCACAATCGGTGCGATTTTTCAATCTTTGTCTTTCTTTGATTCCCCATATTTACTTTTCCCAACTCCTCATTTTCTTCTTTTTCTGTGTTAAATTTTGTTCAGTTGAAAACCACAGAGATGGATTCAAGACCCGAATACCAGCCCGGAATCTTCGATGACCTCTTTCTTAACTTGTTCTGAAGCCGAATGGTACAGGTGACTCCAATTTCATTATCTCACTACTTGAAATGCTTCATTACCTTCTAAATTGACCGTTTTGTTCTTGGTTGCTATTCAATTTGTTAATGGAGGTTCTCAATTTTACTAAATTGATTAAATATGGAAAAAAAATAAAGGGTAAAATCGATACAATTGAAACTACAAAGAGCTAAATGGCACGAGAGACAAAATTATAAGGACCACGGTGTACTTTGCTCCCCAAGAAGATTGTTGATGTTTGGTGCTTTAAGCATGATCAGATTATAAGCGGTGTTCAACTTGGGATCTTATTGGAAAATTTACACTTTTGCATCCTATACTTTACCTACAAACTGAAATTTTAGTAAAAGTATATTATAGATGATAAGGCTAGCATAGAAGGACTAAAGTGAGATTGTGGTAAAAATATAAGGTTGCATCTTATAGTTTACCTTCAATCTCATTTGATCCGTTGAACTTTTAATTATCTCACTCAACTACTCTGTTTTGAGTCAAGTTGCAATTAGGCTCAATCGTGTAATAGCATTTGAAAAATTAACTCAAAAATTAACTTGAATGGGTTTGGATTATGGGTTTGGATAGATATTTAGAAATCGAAATGGTAGGTGAAAATACGACTATATTTCATTCATATTTCACATTTTTAATTTTTTTTTTTTTTAAATCTCTTATTGATTGTTAAAAAAAGAAGTGAAAAGTGATTAAAAAGCCAAAGATATTTAGAATAGGGTAAATTATAAATACATATTTTTAGATTTATTTAAATTATAAATTACTTCTTGTGATTATAAAAATTACAATATGTCCTCTACGGTTTCTAATTTCATAGCAAATAGGTCATTTTATTAATAAATTATCAAGTTAATTAATAGTTTTTAGGGAAAATTAGTCAAGGGTCTCCCTCCCACTTTTCGTAATAGAAGAGATCCACAAAATTATTTTTTGATGTCTAAGGTCCCTAAACATATATCAGAGAAATTTGACTCTTTATTTCTCTTCCTCTACTGCAGAGCAGCCACAGACCGAATCATCGCCAGTAAACTTGGTCATATGACCTAGAATTGAAAACCCTAGCTTATCCGCACTCGACTCGAGTGAGGATTTGTGATCGAAACCTACAAAGACTGCGTGAAAGCGGCAAGGGAAGACCAATGGAGTCGATTCGATTGCATTTGAAAGTGAATCGATGTCGCGAAATGGAAGAGGTGCACGGTATATCTCGATGGATTTCAGCAAGAATGGAAGACCTGTCAACACAATCGAAACACCAAATTCATATACATATATATATATATATATATATACAGAGAGAGAGAATGACCTAAGAGGAAGGAGAAGAGAACGGTGAGGGAGAGAATGAGACGCTTCAATTCGGGTTTGGTGATTCGCATGGTGTTGGGGTTGAAGCCCAAAGGAATTTTTGATTTGTTGTTGTTTTCTGGGGAGTCTGGTGAATAAGATACGGGTGGTTCTACTTCTGAGATTTTTGCCATTGTTGGAACAGTTGAAACTTTCTTCTAATCGGAGACTCTCTCTCTCTCTCTCTTGATGGTGAGGATGACAAGGCTCAATCCTCACATGAAGAACCAAAGGAAGGGCAGGTTTGCGGTGGCAGTGAAAAGTTGATTCAGATGATCCATTATCAGAAAGAAATGGTAAATCACGATTACCTTAACTGAATTTTCTCTAGGTTGAAATCAGATAAATTCTCTGGTTTGAACTGAAATTTCTCTGGGTTGGTCCGGAGAAATTCTCTGGTTTAAACTGAATTTTCTCTGGATTGGTCCAGAGAAATTCTATGGTTTGAACTGAATTTTCTCTGGGTTGATCCAGAGAAATTCTATAGTTTGAATTGAACTAATCCTCAAGTGTTGTCTAGAGAAATTTGACATTTTTTCTGTGAATTTTCTTTGATTTGGAAATCATGTTTTTTTAATCTTTGGTATGTATAAAGGTGTAATGATGTCAACTTGAGAATTGAATTCATTTTATAACCCACAGAGTTCTTCTCTCAATGCTCTAATTCATTTGAATTCTTTTTTCTTTGTTTGCCCATTGATTAAAATTTCTTTACAAAGTTGCTCATTTTATTCCTCCAAAACGAAAACCACATGTGATTTAAGGCAATTATTGACAAGATATTCCAGTGTTTCATCCCTATAATATGTGAAAGCTTTGGATGATAAGGCTCAATCATCACATGAAGAACCAAAGCAGCAAATCACAAAGTTAGTTGTGAGAAAATTAGAAAAAATTCAACCCTAGAGAAATTTCAAAACATAGAAAATCAAAAAAACTGAACAAACCAGAGAAATTCTCTGGCTTGAAATTTCTCTGGATGGAAATTTCTCTGGGTTGAAATTTCTCTGGACAGAATTTCTCTAGAGCAGAATTTCTCTGGATCAAATTGAGGGACCTTAGACATTATGAAAATATTAGATGTCCTTTATACTATAAAATGTTAATACCAGAGATCCTAAAAAAAAAAAACCTTTTTATATATATCTTTTAAAAATAAAAAATAAAAATCTAATATATCTTTTAAGTGAAAAAAGTTTAAACCATAGTTTTCTATTGTTATCACTTTACTTGTTACACACTCTATATTTATCTATTACTTGTAAAATAATACTCTCATAACAACTCTCATATTATTTTAATTTCGAGATTTATACTTTATTAGTGATGAAAAGTTTAATTTTTTTGTGCAGAACTTTTTTTTTTTTATTCATTTCGCGTTTTCAGTTGGACAATCAGTATCGAATTATTTTATTATATTCAGACATCAACTGCTGAATTTTTTCTTTTTTTGAACAAATTTGTAAAACTAATCACTTTTATTTAGAAGTTAAGTTTCAAATTAAGTGTATAATTTCAAAAAATCAGTGCTGAAATTTCCAAACCGAATTTTTTTTATAAAAAAAAAAACGAGGGTTTTATAGCAATAGAGTGCACAGAGATCTGAAAATAGTAAATCTATATAATAAGGGAGGATGGTTTTTGAAAATGTGTAAAAATGTATGAGAGATACATTTATATCAATGGTTGAGATCTTTCCCGATCAACATCTAACGGTTGTCTCTCAAACACTCCTCTCATTTCTACCAAGTGTATCAAACACTGCTCTTCTTCTGTCTCTCACAGGTCTGCCTCCCACCTAACCCTTCTCCCTCTCTTCTTCTTGATTTCAAATGGGAGTCGAGTGTTCTGTAAATCCTTCTCAGTACCTTCACTCGCTTCGATCGAACTCATTCGATTTAAGTTTTTCAGAGCTCGAACTTCCTCATCCAACCCTTCTAGGGTTTTTCGAATGGCCACCGAGCCTCCTTCTTCATCCTCATCATCACCACCACACTCCGCTTCAGCTTCCTCTAATGGCGATTCATCCTCGGTCCCCGCTTCTTCTGCCATCGATTTTCTGTCTCTCTGTCACCGTCTCAAGGTATTCCTCATCCAACCCTTCTATGTATATATGTATCGATTCTCTCTCGAATATCATTGCCTAAATTTGTGATTTTGTTTTTTGGGTTTGGGGGTTTTTTGGGGTTTGATCAAACGACGAAGAGAACGGGATGGGAGCGAAGGGATGTTGAGAATCCAGAGTCCATAGCCGATCATATGTATCGAATGGGGTTGATGGCTCTCAAATAGGATATTTTGTGCCATGGGAAGCAAATTTATGAATGCTGACCAATCAACATTTATGATTGATCTACATCAAGTTGGAATGATGCTAAGGTATAGTTACACAGTTTTCTCTTAACCTACTAATAATGGACATGGGATTGACATCTACCCCCGCATCCTTGGTGTTTGGTTCTGGTGATTTGTCTACTGATTTTTTTTTATTTTTTATTTATTGTTGTTTTGTTAGCTGTTGGCCACATTGGGATTGTTTGGGTTATTTGATTCAACTTTTCATTGTTTAAAATACTGTTATTCAAAATCCATAAAAAATTTCCTCTCTTTTTTGTTTGTTTGTTTAAAATTATATGTGGTGAGGTTAGATTTTCTCTCTGTTGGGCTGTTCTGCGTCGCACCAGAATTCTCTCTATCGAGCTCTACTCTAAGAATTTTTTGTTGGTTTCAGATTCTAATTCTGTCGGAACTGCTCGCTCCCATTCTCTTTTTGTCTCGAGTCGATCACTTCGCTCACTCTTTTCAAACTAAAGGTAAAGACCACTCTGTTTAGATAGATTAGAAGTGAGTACCTATTTAAATGAGTATACCATCTGCCCCTTACGTTGTTGTCACCGTCGCATGTAAGCTCCATGTGCATGGAGTTCATTGTTTATTAAAATACGTAAAAATACTATTACCAATTGTGAATTTGTGAAATTTTATAATAATTATAGAAATACAAATTTCTATATAATAAGTCACAAAGGCTTTTGAATTTATGTCAAAAATGTATGTGAGATACATTTTGATCCAATGGCTGAGATTAATCCTAAGTTTATTTCAATGGTTTAGATTTGCTTTGGATGGCTAACATTTCCCGCCCAACACATTTATGTGTCTCCCCCACACCCTCTGTCCACCATCTATCTTCTCATACCTTCTATCTACCTTCCCATTCCTACTCTCTGAAGAGAAGCTTGGCTTGGCTATACCATTTTGTAGAAAATATAATGTGAATGAAGGACAAACAAATACTGCTGCAGAGTTGAGAGAAGTAGATAGTGAGGTGTGTATTGTATATATTGTTATAGCATTTGATGATAACATGCGAAATTGATTTGAGAAGGTTGGAAAAGAATATGCAACTTCCTGTTGCTACTTGGATTATATGTCGATCAGGAATGAGATAATCCCTTTGTGAAATCAACTACTATGTCATATATCCGATTCATAATTTGATTTCATTTGCCTTCGGGCGGAAAAAAAATGAAAATAATAGAAGTTTGTGTTGTGATACAAATGTTTTCACAACCCAGTCTGTGAGCTAAAATGTTCTTTCAATTGCATTTGTTTTTTTAGAAAAAAGTATGGATAAGAAATACTTTTGAGCATCAAAAGGATCAGAAGTTAGGGAAATAACAATTTAAGTGGTTCCATTTCCCTCTCTGTCTACCGTCTGGCTCACATTTTCCTTGCTCTGTTTTTTTGGTTTTGGGTTTGGATTTTGAGTTATTTGAATGATATATATATATTGAGTTATTGAGTTCTTAACTGCTGGGTTCTTAACTATAGTTTTTAATTGCTGGGTTCAATAGAGTTATTGAAAACATGACTTTAGTATTCTTCTTGAATTTTTGATAGACTATCTGAGATCATGAATATTTGAGATCATCCCACAAGTAAAATTGGTAGACTATCTCTTCAAATCAAACTTATAGCATAAAACCTGTTTGAGCTGCTTCCAGAAGCATCTCTTCTTGGGTCATCCTCTTCTCTTCTCCTTTCTTTTTCCTTTTAATTGGCTGCCAAAAGAAAATTTATTCAGTTCAAGCTACTTAACTGCACATCCTAAAACTTACAATAGCTATCCAGTTGAATAGTCATCAGAAATTTTCATGATTAGCATTTCATTCACATGGAAGAATACCAAGAGTTATTACAAATTAGCATTTCATGATTAGCATTTTCATGAATAGGAATCAACCAATTCACAGCATTTATCATTACAAATTATCATTTCATTCACATGGAGGATAACCAAGAGTTTCTTCTTGAATTTTTCTTCTTCGGGTAATTGTTCTTCTTCTTGAATTTTTTTTTTCCCTCTCTCAGCTTTTGCCTTCATCAGAGCTTTTGCCTTCATCACTTTGGCTACTCAGCTATTCACTTCGGCTGCTCGACATCCTGCTCGGCTGCTCGGTTAGTTTATTACTTTGATTCTTATTGTTTTTCTTTTGTTATTGCTTTGGTAACGTTTGGCTTTTGCTTTGATATTGAGCCAACTGATATATTGCTTTGCTATTGAGTAAAACTAAAGAAGAATTCTGCATATGATTTCGGCAAGAATTCTGCATATGAATTCTGCAGAATTTTGGCTGATCAATCCCTTGGTCTCAAGTGGAACGGCTATTTGTCCCCAAGGTATAAACGTTGTTGTAAACTATGTCAAGTTGTAATTCAAATATTGTTTTGCTATGTTTTTTTGTCTTCACTAATAGAATTCAAGTGTTTTCAGCAACAATTTCAGTCAAAACACATCTATTGCATTAAGCTCTGTATTCGTTACATAATCTGCGATCAAGTTGGTTATTGACTTTGAATTTTGTATTCATTACATAATATGCATCTAAGTTGGTTGGTCTGAAGCTCACTTTGAATGTCCATATCATTCTTCTACACAAGTCAGAATATACAATGACAAAAACAATTATAGCCTTTTTTTTAGAAGGCAATTGTAATGGGGACAAAGGCGGCTTAACTACTAGACCACTTAATTCATTGTCTAAGGCTTAATTCATATGATTTCTACAGAATTCTGCATATGATTTCGACATGGTTTCAGTTTTAATTTTGATTTTGAAATGGATTTGAATGATTTCGGTTTTGATTTTGAAATGGGTTTGTATGATTTCAGTTTTGATTTTGAAATAAGTTTTCGAATCTCTGTATTTTGGTATTTATGTATTTCTATATATGTATGTTTCCAGGGCTTAATGAAATGGGTTTTAGGCTGTGTTTAGTTTCATGTGAAATAAGTTTGAAATAAATTTGAAATAAGTTTTGACATTCAAACTATTTGGTGTTGTATTTTGGGACAACAAAATGTTATACTTGCTAACTCAAAGAATCCAGTAATCATAAACATTTAGTGACACTTATGATTTTTTCACTTCCTTTAATTTTTCTTTTTTTGTTTTCAAATTAGAAGATACTTCCTGTTGGGGAATTTCAAATTTATAGTTTATTTTTTAGTGTTTTCAAAACCTTCAATGTTTTTCTTTGGATCACCAGCAGTTAAAAATACTTTTCCATATAACTTATTAAGTGCTTTGAATATGGTTAAATTCACCAAAATTTGAATGTTACATAGAGCACTTATTAAGTTACATAGAGCGTTATTAAAAAACAGAGAGCAGTTATTAAGAGTCAAGTGAATTTGAAATTCAAATTCAAAGCAGAGTCAGAGAGCACATAGAGCAGTTAAAAATATGTAACACTCAAATATGATTTTGCTTATGTAACTTTGGTGATTCAAAGCAGTTTATTGTTTATTCACCAAAATCAACAATAAACTCACCAAAATCACTTGACTCTATGTGCTCTATGTAACATTCAAATTCAAAGCAGAGTCAAATAGCACTCACCAAAATCACTTATTAAGTTGCTTGACTCTGTTTTTTTAACTGCTGGTGATCCAAATCTGGACTTAATAAGTACTTTTCCATATAACATTCAAATTCACCAAAATTTATTAAGTGCTCTATGTTTTTTATCACCAAAATCACTTGACTTTGTTTTTTATCACCAAAATCACTTGACTTTGTTTTTTATCACCAAAATCACTTGACTTTGTTTTTTATCACCAAAATCACTTGACTTTGTTTTTTATCACCAAAATCACTTGACTTTGTTTTTTATCACCAAAATCACTTGACTTTGTTTTTTATCACCAAAATCACTTGACTTTGTTTTTTATCACCAAAATCACTTGACTTTGTTTTTTATCACCAAAATCACTTGACTTTGTTTTTTATCACCAAAATCACTTGACTTTGTTTTTTATCACCAAAATCACTTGACTTTGTTTTTTATCACCAAAATCACTTGACTTTGTTTTTTATCACCAAAATCACTTGACTTTGTTTTTTATCACCAAAATCACTTGACTTTGTTTTTTATCACCAAAATCACTTGACTTTGTTTTTTATCACCAAAATCACTTGACTTTGTTTTTTATCACCAAAATCACTTGACTTTGTTTTTTATCACCAAAATCACTTGACTTTGTTTTTTATCACCAAAATCACTTGACTTTGTTTTTTATCACCAAAATCACTTGACTTTGTTTTTTATCACCAAAATCACTTGACTTTGTTTTTTATCACCAAAATCACTTGACTTTGTTTTTTATCACCAAAATCACTTGACTTTGTTTTTTATCACCAAAATCACTTGACTTTGTTTTTTATCACCAAAATCACTTGACTTTGTTTTTTATCACCAAAATCACTTGACTTTGTTTTTTATCACCAAAATCACTTGACTTTGTTTTTTATCACCAAAATCACTTGACTTTGTTTTTTATCACCAAAATCACTTGACTTTGTTTTTTATCACCAAAATCACTTGACTTTGTTTTTTATCACCAAAATCACTTGACTTTGTTTTTTATCACCAAAATCAATTGTGGAGTGGATTTGATTTTATCTATAATTAAATTTTATTGTTCTTTAATTCTGTATTTGTGAGAGGAGATTATCTGAAGTACGGACCGAGCATGGCAGAACTGAGCCTGGGTGTTCTTATAGATATTGTTGATGAGGAATGGATGCGAGTCACTCTTTCTGATGATGGTAAATGGGTTATAGATATTCTTATTAACTTTATTCTTCATTTTTTCGTTTCCCTGTTTTCAAATTTACAAGCATACAGTCTTTCAGTCTGTCTGCATGGTTTTTTGAATGAAAATTTTGTTGAAATTGCATTTACTTCACTGTTACAGATCTTGCATTACCACCAGTGATGATTTCGCGAACTGACGACACTGAAGAGTCAAGTAATGTCTTCCAACTACATAGTAACTTTCATTTGTCTGATTGCATTTGGAAATTTGTGGGTTTCCATTATTTTGCTGTTTAGGGTAGTATGCTTTAGTGCTTGATCATCAAATGTATAATGTTATTGATCAATTGAAGGTTTTGATTGCACAATATGATTCTAACCCGAAGATGGGTTGGAAGATTCTATGGGTTATTGAGAAATGCTAGAGTCCCACAATTTATCCACAATGACATGTGGCATTGTGTTGTTTTGGTTTTCTGGTATGGGCTGGCTGGTTGATGAAGTCCTTATCTTTAAGAGTTGTAAATGCTAACAAGATAGTAAAAAAGGAAAGGTAGGTGGAATGGTTAATTTGGTTACATTGAGGGAACCAAAATCTGTAATGAAAATACACCAAGGTGCTAGGGAATTACTCCACGCACTATCTCATTATTTACTTGCGTATGCAACAGGCCTCAATACAATGGTAAGTCCCAACAAAATAGGAAAATTCCTTACAAGTAGTTGACAAACTTAAATGAGTTACAAATCAGGAGATAAGATAACCTACCTGAATAATTAAAAATTAGGAAAGAATAACTAAAAATCTAAACAGAAATTGTGTAGACCTCCTAATAAAAAGAGAATGTATCAACTCCTCCCCCTTAAAATTTGTTTGTTATTTCTCGGCTGATTTGATTTCCGTCATGTGAATGGTCATGAGTTGATTTAGAAATCAAATGGGCTTTGCTTCTTTTTTTTTCACAATTAATCTATATAATAATCATGGCAAATGATACCAAATAGGTTCAGAATCCTAAGTAATTTTGAAAAAAATATGTGATTTTGTGGACAGAATATATTGTTTCTGTCCATACCTCATCATTTTTTTCCTTATGTATTTTGATTTCAGTTTCACAATTTGAAACTACAGCATCTGTTTGAGTCTCATCTTTATGTTCATTTCATCCCATCTCAACTGTCTGTCTCAATTACAATTGTTATTTTGATTTTAAAATTTTCAATACTTATGTTTCTTATGCAATTTGTTTCTCATTTATATTGCCTCAATTAAAATATGTCTCTTCACCCCTCTATATTTTGTGCGTGTCTTCATGCATATACCATGTTCGGTAAAATGGCTCAATTAAAATAGTTTATATAATTCTAAGCTTGTGAACACCATGCTAGCTGCTTATATAATTCTACTTGCGAACATATAATCTTATGAAAATCCATCAAAACATTTTTTTTTTCTTTTTCAGCTTTTTTTGTTTTATGTGTGTCTCTTTGTATGCATTCACTATGTTCTGTAAAATGCCTCACATAAGTCTCTGAAATATTTTTCTAAAATGGGTCTCCAAAATGCCTCAAAATTTTTATTTGGGTTTTCGTTGGGTGTCTAATTTTTTATGTGATTTGTTTCTCATTCAGGTTTGATTGTGTTTCTCATTTATATTATGTGATTTGTTTTTCATTTATATTGCCTCAATTAAAATACATCTCTTCACCCCTCTATATTTTGTGTGTCTTCATGCATACACCATGTTCGGTAAAATGGCTCAATTAAAATAGTTTATATAATTTTAAACTTATGAACACCATGCTAGCTGCTTATATTAAAATAGTTATATAGTTTATTAATTTTTGTTGGGATCTAATTTTTACATAGTTGGGATCTAGGGTTCGCTGACTTCTTTTTATTTTTTTTTCAAGTACATTAGCTAGATATGAGAGGAAGAATGGCAATGGGGGTGAAGAAAAGTGCTAATATGTTGGCTTATACTGCCATGGCCATGAGAGACTTCTAAGTTGCTTCTTCTCGGTTGTCAAAATAGCACACACACTTGGTTGTTGATTTAAATTTCCCCCCCCCCTAATTCACAAATGAATGTTAATTTGAGTTGATAAAAAACTGTAATTAAGTTTGCAATCCTAAGCAAACTGTAATTAACTTTGTAATCTTAAACGCACCAGCAAAAGCCCATCCAAAAAATGTTCAGTCATCACTTAAAAGCACATCCAAATAATTCAAAACAAACTAAAGAAAAGGGAAAAAGAAACAAACAGAAACTGTATACTTTTCGAGATTACCAGAAAAGGGTCCTGCAAGAAGTGCCAATATACATCCAATATTCTTTATAGTATCCAACAACCAAAAAAAAAAAAAATCAAATAAAGAGTGATTCCAACTCTGTTGTAATCACAAATAAAGAATGGAAGAGATATTAGCGGGTCCATACACTTTTTGAGAACATATTCCTAGATTCCAACTTTGCTGTAGTCTTTGAGCTGACCAATTTTTCAACATAAACAGTGAGTGCACCCAACAGATACTTAGTGTCGTTTGATCGTCCAGTATTTTTTAATATTCGAAAGGTCATAAATGTTTCAGTATTTTTATGTATTCCATTTTGGTTTGATTGGCCATAAATGTTTATACATTTGAAGTGTTGTTGGCATGGATAATAAATAGTTAATTATGATTTTAGATTTATTTTTTAATTTTTATATTTTTTTTCCAGGTGTGATTTTGTAATTTTAGATTATGATTTGGTTTATATATATTTTTTATTTTTGTAATTTTTTTTAAGGTGTTATTTTTTTCAATGCTGGGTAAGTTTTGTTTTATCTGACATACATTGTTTTATTATTATTCGAGTTAACTGCAATGTCATCCTTTCATGTTTGTGCAATCTAATTCCTCATGGATGTCTCTCCTTGATTTTTTTAGTTAGGTCAGGGTGTTGCTTTTACCAGTTAAAAAAATTGCCTTCTACTGATTTATAAGGTTCAGAATTTTTTTGTTACTGTTGAAATATCTAACTCTGACATAATTGCAGCATTATTGGAGACTAGCACAAATGGGGTCGTTTTGGTTGTTCAGTTGTTATACTAATTTGCTGGCTTTAAACAGTTGAACTAAAATATTTTCGTTGCCAGTAAAGGTAGAAAGTGTTCAGTGCCATAGGCCCCAAAAATAATGAACAAAATTAGATCCAAGTGGTGGCACAATAAGTAGTTTGAATAATTAGAGTTGATTGCCCACATCATGCTAGGTTGTCATAACTCAGATTTTTATCCATCTCTGTGGAGTTCCATTAATTATGAGAAATTTAGCTCAAGTCAACCCAACAGAACTTTTTTTGAATTTTTTGGAGAACTTTTAAAAGAAACCTAACAACTCCATTAATTATGAGAAATTCAGCTCAAGTCAACAACAATAGTGGAGACTTTATCCTTTTGTTACAAGATGGTTCAAACTCCGATTGATTTACTGATGGAACTCCAATTATGTAATTACTTTTTGCCTTTTCAAGTCATGTGTTTATTTTTCTTTTGGATTACCATAAAATGTCATTGAACACTTAAAACTGACATCCCTATCTGTGAGTGCTTTCTTATGCATCATTTATATCTGATGAAGGTAACCCTACTAATTAGAACTCACTATGCTAACAATTAGGATTCTAAATTCTCAAATGTGATTAAGGGATCCTTGATGTATAGATTTTCTTAACTTGACATTAAACAATGTTTAAGGGCTCATTACAATATATTTAGTATTTGTTTGAGTAACCTAGAATTGGCTATAAGAATAGTAAATAACAGCATGATAGAAACTACTGGAGGAATTGTAGTGACCAATCTTGGGCCTGTTCTGAATGGCAATTCCATTGTAGCAGATTTATTTATTTATTTTTTCATTTTCTTTCGAAGTTTTGGGAGAGGACTTCCCTTGAGGAGTAATCACATCCTTTTACATGATTCTGTGCTACCTAAGCCTTATTTGGGGCGTACCATATAATTGTAATTAGAATACATTTGGTCTATATTTTTCTAATTGTAATATCTGCTACTGATATGTTTTGCTCTAAACTGATATGTTTTTCTATATGTTTGCTCTAAAACACATAAGTATTTGTGTTTTTCTATTGGGTTTCCTGTTTATTTATTTGTTTTTTTCCATAGATATTTATTTGTGTTGCTCTAAAACCCAGCTTGGTTCTCTTTGGCAGCTCGGTTCACTCCGATCGTTGTTCACTCCAGCAGCTCGGTTGCAAAATCAGAAATCACTTCGACCACTCCTGTAAGCTTTTCACTCCAGCAGCGCGGTTGCAAAATGAGTTTGGTGTGATTTTAGTTTTATGATTTGGGTTTGATGTCTTTGTTGGGATGGGGCTTTTTTTAGGTTGGTCTAATCTGGGTTTGATTTTAGTTTGGCCCTCAAAATATATTGGAATCATGTTGGTCTAATTTGAGTTAGAATATCTGGGTTTATACATATCTATTGGTCTAATTTGAGTTAGAATTTAGTTCTCTCTTTCATTCATGCATCTAATATCTGGGGTTGTATTCATTTGTATTCATGAGTTTGTGTTTGGTAATATCTGCTATGGGTTTCTATATTTTTAGGATTGCTCTAAACTGATATGTATTGGATTGCTCTACACTGTATTGGTATAGCAATCCAATCCAAAACTAATATCTGCTATGTGGTTTATATATATCCAAAACAAGCATTTATGTTAACAGTTTAGAGCTCGAATGTCTGCTATAAACTATAAACATATAATAAGTTGGAATTATTTAGGCACAGGCAATTATATGTTTATAGCAGATGGACATAAATGCTTTGGATGGGAATGGGGATATTCAAGCTCGAAAACTATAAACATATAATAAGTTGGAATTATTTAGGCACAGGAAATTATATGTTTATAGCAGATGGACATAAATGCTTTGGATAGGGATGGGGACATTCGAGCTCGAAAACTGATATGTTTTGGATTGCTCTCTTCCCTACCCTCTTCGAAAAATTGGTTCGAACAACATGCATATGATATTGTGAGTTTATATATCGGGTGATGCTATGGTACATTTAGATGTACCATACATTTAGTTATGGACTTATATTAACCAATATCATATTAATCATAATCAGTTTCATATTAACTCATAACTAAACATTATATTCAACTAAACATTTTTGCAGCATATTCTAACTCGACTAATTGGTTTCATATGGGTTTTGTGCAGCAGTTGAGTTGGAATAATTGTGTGACGCTATCGGAATTTAATTTAAGCTTTCTTTTGCTTCTTCAGGACTTTTCTTCAATGCCAACATTTAACTTTCCAAGAAATCAAATAGATATATAATTTTACTTACAAATGTATATTGTGTTGTTCTATTTTTTTTCATTTTTTATTTATTATAAATAAAGTAGTAAGCATCTTCTGATGTATTTCTATATGGTTGTTTTGTTTTGTTTGGTATTTGTTGTGTTCCTTTGCAGTCGGGTTGCTGCAAGCCTTCAAATGACTGCAATTTCATGTATATTAGCCCAACCAACTGGACAACCTCAGCCAAATCTTCTTATACAAATTCAGATTGCAAGCTGTGGAACAATGACCCAAGTATTCTGTGCTTCGACTGTCAATCATGGAAGGCTGGGCTTCTGGATAGTATCAAGCATGATTGGAAGGTGGCCGTGATCAACATTATATTAAATTATTTATTTATACCATATTACCTCATAATCAGGTCATAACTGAATTATTTAAATAATTTGACTCTCAACCGGCAATCGGCGTAGCCGGTTACCATGAGGGAACAAAATTGAATCAGTCGCGTATGGCTAGGTTTTTGGAAATGCTTGAAAATGGACATAGGGGAGGATGGGAATATGGACATTGCAGATATAGTAGATATTGCAAAACATAGCAGATATGACATGGACATAGGGACATAGGGAAAATTGCTATGGACATAGGGAAAATTGCAAAACTATAAACTTATTATATGTCCATGCCTAAATAATTCCAACTTATTATATGTTTATAGTTTATAGCAGACATTCGAGCTCTAAACTGTTAACATAAATGCTTGGAACTATTTATGTCCAACTACAAAATTGTTTTAAGTTGGAACTAACTTTGTAGTAGACCAATACAATTTATAGCAGATGGACATAAACTTATTATATGGACATAGGCACGGGCAAAATTTATGTCCCCATCTGATATGGACATAGGGAAAATTGCTCGAATCCATTAGTTTGGGGATATGGCATGGGGACATGGCAGATATTAGTTTATAGTTTATATTGCTCAAATCCAAAACATCTCAGTTTGAGTTCGAATATTGCTCTAAATTGTATTGGTCTAACTAATAGTTTATAGTTTATACATATCTATTGGTCTAACTGAAATGTTTTGGATTGCTCTATATTTTTCTATATAGGATTTGGGTTTCTATGAGTTTCTATGGTATAGTATTCATATGTTTTGCTCCAAGAAGATGAAGAATAGTATCAATGGTTGAGTCGAATTTAGATTCATATATTATAAAGGGAAGGTTGAAATTAAGGGAATAACACATTTGGGGTGACAAAGTGCACTAGATTTAATATATGAATTTCAAATAGGGGCATGTAGTATCAATGTGAAATTAAGGGAATAAAACACTCTTCATGAAAGTATATATGTGTGTATAATATCAATGTGAAATTAAGGAGTATAGTATTCTATGTTGTCTTCATGAAAAAAAAATGTATTCAACTTACAAGTATTTAACTTAAATGAAAAATTTGAAAGACTTGGCATTTAACATTTATGTGTAATATGGCAAGAGGTTTTTTTGTTTTTTTTTTTTGGCACCTTTTTAAGGGAGTATAGTATTCTATGTTGTATTTCAAAAAATTCTGCACAATGTATATATGTGTGTATTACTTTAGTTGTTTTCAAGAAAAAAAAAAGTGTATTGACCTTGCAAGTATTTAACTTAACCCAAGTATTTAACATAATCCGTTTTGCTTTGAATCAAATTCACAAAGTATTGAACTTAACCCAAAAAAATGTATTTAATTTTTTGATGTAAACAAAAATTGTACCATTCAAATGTAGTATATTTGTTGTATGATTTTAAAAAGAAAGGGATTGTTTTTTTCATTTATTTATTTATTTATTTTTTGAATATTTAGAGTTCCTAATGAAAAGAAAAATTTGTAAGACTTGGAATTTTAACATTTATGTGTAATATGGCAAGAGAGTTTATTTATTTATTTATTTTCACCTTTTTAAGGGAGTATAATATTCTAGGTTGTATTTCAAAAATTCTGGTCAATGTATATGTGTGTATTACTTTCGTTACTTCATGAAATAATTATTCATTATTGCTTATAAAATGGCTTTGTTATCTGGTGAATTTTTATTTTAGTTTTTTTTGGGCATAAATTTATGTTTGGACTTTCCAAGTAATAAATGGTGAACTTCAAAATATTTATGATTATAATGGGTTTTGATTTTGTTTTTAATTTTATCTCTATAAAATTGAAGTTAGTTAAGAAAGAGATTGGTTCAAATTTGGACAATTATTTTGCTCCGGTTTTAATTTATCAATTTAATGTGTTTGTGTTGTCGAGGGTCGTTTGTGAGTATTCGGATGTCTTTCCCGAGGACCTTGTTAGTTTACCACTTCACCGAGAGATAGAGTTCTCTATTGATCTAGTGCCCGGCATGGCGCCGATTTCTATGGCACCTTACCGTTTTGCTCCAGCAGAGTTGGTTGAGTTGAAAGTTCAGCTCCAGGAATTGTTAGATAAGGGTTTTGTTCGCCCTAGTGTTTCACTGTGGGGAGCACCGGCCCTCTTTGCTAAAAAGAAAGATGGTGCCTTGAGATTGTATATAGACTACCGGAAGTTGAATCGGGCTACGGTCAAGAATAAGTACCCTATGCCCCGTATAGATGATCTGTTTGACCAATTGAAGGGTTCCCGTTGTTTTAAATCACTTTTTCCACTTCTCTTCTCTCTCTTACTTTTTCAAAAACACCATATTTGAGCCTCTCACTCTAGAGCTCTACCTTCTCTCTAGGTATTGATCTAGTAGGAGTGATTTCCTCACCTTTGGCCTTTACAAAAAAGTTGTTGATCGTCGAGGGCTATCTTTTGATCCGAATAGTTCGTGGTTTGGAGCATTTTCATTTCCATAATCTTCTTGGTTGGGTGTCATTCTTTGAGGTAGGGATAACCTACTCCTTACTATGAGCTTTGTCTTTAAATTTTAGTATTTTGAGATGTTGGGGTTAGTTTGGTAATTTTGTGAAAGTTTGGGGCTTTTGTGTAAATTTACAAAAGTTGGGGTTTTAGCTATATAAAACCTAGATGCATGTTTGGCATGGAAAAAGTGAAATTAATGTTAAAACATTAATGAAAATGGAACCTAAGGGTTGTAATGTTAATTATGGAAAATGCCCTAATTACATTGGTCAATTAATTTGCATAATTAATTATGAGAAATGAGGAATTGATTTGGAAAG